CAAGCCAAAACAAAAAACAAGATGATCTTTAACATTTGGTAAGCAAAGATTTCTTAGGACACACACCAAAAAAAATGCAAAACATTAAAAGAAAATTTGGACTGGCGGACTGGCTCAAGTGGCAGAGTACCTGCCTTACACGTGTGAGGTCCTAGATTCAAACCCTAGCGCAGCAAAAAAAAAAAAAAAAAGAGAGAGAGAGAGAGAAGAAAAAGAAAAGAAAATTTGGGGCTGGAGCTTGCCCAGCAAGCATAAGGCCCTGAGTTCAAACACCAGTACTACCACGAAAGAAGAAAAAAAAACCTTTGACATACTGGACTTCATCAAAATCAAACACTTGTATTCTTCAAAAGATCCAACTAGGAGAATGAAAAAACAAGCCCAAACCTACAGAAAACATTAGCAAAACGTATCTGACAAAAAGTCTGTATCCAAGAATACAATTTAAATCACAAAAGACAATTTTTATTAGTGGTACTGGGGCTTGAACTCAGGGCCTCACACTAGCTAGGCAGGCACAGTACCACTTGAGCCACTCCACCAGCCCTTTCTTTTTCTGTTGGGTATTTTGCAAGATAGGGTCTCTCGAATTATTTGCTTGCGCTGGCCTGGAACAACAATGTTCCTGGTTTCTGCTTCCTGAACATCTAAGATTACAGGCATGAGCCACCAGCACCCGGCATAAAAGGTCATTTTAAAAAAATTTTTTTAATGGACAAAATATTTCAAAAGACAAATCACTAAAGATACAAGTGGTCAATCTCATGAAGAGATTCTGAAATGATTAGTCAACAAACAAGTGCAAATTAAAACTACAAAAAGACACTACTATACACCTTTTAGAATGGCTAAATTTAAAAAGACTGACAATACTAAGAACAGGCAGACCTTGCAGACACTACAGGCTTGGTTCCAGATCATGGCAGTAAAGTAAGTACATGAATTTGTTTGTTTTTCAGTGCATAAGAAAGTTATGTTTACACTGTAGTGTCTATTAAATATGCAACAGCATGATGTCAAAAACGTATATACTAAGACTAAACCCCCCAAACTCAAAATGTGTAAACCTTAATTTAAGAAGACTTTACTGCTAAAAACACTAACAATCATCTGAGTTATTGGAAAATGATGCCAACAGACTTGCTTGATACACAAACCTTCAATATGTACAAAATGCAATAACCTTGAAGCACAATAAAGTGCGATAAAACAATTCGGTCTATATTGGCAAGGATGTGGAACTACCAGAACTCTTGTACACTACTGGTGGGAATACAAAATGGTACAGCCACTTTGGAAAACTTAGCAATTATTTATTTGTTTGTTTATTTATTTCCTTGCTTGCTTGGTTACTTACTTTAAGACATGTAGCCCAGGCTAGCCTCAAACATGAGGTTCTCCTGCCTTAGCTGTGATTATACGTGTGCACCACCATGCACGCTCTTGGAAATTTTTTAAAGATTTAACATGTAGCCAGGCACTGGTGGCTCACGCCTGTAGTCCTAGCCACTTTGGAGGCTGAGATGGGAAGGATTGCAGTTCAAAGACCAGTCCAGGGGAAACACTTCAAGAGATGCCCATCTCCAAAAAATAACCAGAGAGTAGGGCTGATGGAGTGACTCAGGTGGTAGAGCACCTGCCTAGCAAAATAACCACAGCACAATGGACTGGAGGTATGGCTCAAGTGATAGCGCGCCTGCCTTGCAAGCATGAAGCTGAGTTCAGAACCCCAGATGGCAACTCCTTTTCTATGTGATTACTCCCAAAGACTTGCATACAAATATTCTAGTAGCTCAAACTGGAAACCCAAATGTTGTCAAATGGCTAAGCAAATTTCAGTGTAGCCATACAATGGAATGCTAAGCAACAAAAAGAAACAAACTACTGATAGAACAATATAAGTGAATCTTAAAAGCATGTATAAGGAAACAGAAGCAGATACAATGTATCAGATACTGTCCAATTTTTTTCATTCATGTGAAATTCCAGAAAGGTAAAAGTGTATGTAGTGACTGAAAGCACAATGGTGGCAAAGACCAGGGGCTGGGGAAAGGGACTGGCTGCAAATGGGCCCCCAGAAAGCATTTCAGAATGATGGCAATGGAATGTTTTATGGCATGAATGTGGTAGTGAATCTAGACTGCCCCACTTTACCGCCTGGACAAAGTTTCCATTTTGCAGCATAGGGAGGGGAACCCAAGTGGAGTCCAGTAGACTACTGGAGTTCAGGACAAGATGTTAAGAAGTCATAGAGATTTGAGAAGTAGTTATTTCTGTGGATCTGCAGCCTAGTGGAAGGTCCAGGGTCCTTGCTGGTCATTAGGGCTATAAGGCAGGAAAACGTTCTGGAAGTAGAGCAAAAGAGAGTATATGCTGGAACCTGACAGTTACCTCTGCCTTTACCTGTTATCTCACCTGATTGCAAAAAGTTTTGGAAAGTAATGACCCTGCTTAATTTCTGCCTCCCAAATCTGGTATGTTTGTTTTAGCCAACTCTAACTAGACTTGTATTATGTGGAAAGGAATTCTGGGTAATACCCTGCTTGACCAAGTTGACAACACAGCACATACACACACAATTTAAAGAATCATCTTTCAAGGGCTGGTGATGTGGCTTAAGTGGTACAGTACATGCCTAGCAAGCATGAGGCCCTGAGTTCAAACTCTGGTACCACAAAAAAAAAAAAAAGACAGGAAGAACCATCTTTCATTATTTACTATTTATTTATGCAAATGTTTTCTTGCAGCTATCTCAATTAAAATGAAAAATAGGAAGACTGTGATTAGCACCATATTTTTAGACTGGCTGTGATAATATTCAACCAATAATATTAATTGAAGAGAATTATTAGTCCTATCTCATTATGAGAAGTGTTCAGCAAATTTTATGGTTAATAATTACTTGATGTATTAAACATGTTATTCTAGTGTAGTATATAATGGAATAAAAACTTAGTCCAGAAAAATAATGAGCTTAAGAGTTATGATGAGAAATTTTTAAAAATTTCTGCTTCATGTGTGTGTTAAAGTCACGTGATCAATAAAGAACTCATTCTAGGGGCTTGGGAGTATAGCTCAGTGGTAGAGTTCAATCCTTAGTACCAAGAAAGAAAAAAAAAAAAGAATTTATACTGTAACTATATTTCATTAGAAAAAAATTCTGTGGGGGAAGTAGATAAAAGTAACGAGGTAAGATCTACAATTCTTAAAAAAGTTTATAGGGTGTGGTGGTGTATGTCTGTAATCTCTGTACCTGGGAGGTGGAGGCAGGAGAAGTGACAGTTGGAGGCTACCCTGGGATGCATAGTGAGACCCTGTCTCAAAAGTCTCTTTGTTGTTGCTGTTGTTGTTTTTTAAAGAATAATGTTGGATATCAAACTGCTATAATATATATATTCCATTGGTTATGTTTGAAAATGATATAACATTTTTAATTTAAAAAATAGTAGAAAGAGCGTCATCTGCAATCATTTAAACTCATGAAGAACTGTGGATCAATTTAAAAATATGCAAAGAGGGAATATAATTTTTTTTTAACATTGCTCTGGGGATACAAAACCTAAAAAAGTTTGTTGATGATGGATGGACTCAAAACAAGACAGGATTAGAAAGTACTGTGAGTACTTTCTAATGGAAATTAGAATTCAATTTTTAAATTCCAAAAAGGAAAAATTCATAGGGAGGTACAGAAATAGAGCTAGCATTAGGAAAACAAAACAAAGTCCAGCTCAGTGGTACAATGTAGGCTTACCATGTGCAAGGCTCTGGGCTCAATCAAAAAGTCTTAGCTGTGAAACGAAAGAGAAGAGGTGGGATTTGGAAAGAGGAAGATGAAGAGCCTTTGAACAAAAAGCATTTTTGGAAGATGAACTTGAGTGTAACGGGAAAGAGGCAGGAGAGATGGTGAAAATGGCCAAGTTAGAGAGCTCAGAAGACGTTCCTGAGGATTCACTTTGATAAAAACAAACCATACTACAATAATGAAGCCCTGGGTGAGTCAACAGTTAAGTTCTGGAGGTAACTTACACCCCACTCAGGATTTTCTAGTTACAATCACTGTATTCTTTTGACCGCCACTGAAAGCCCAGCCTCATGAGACCTCAGTATCCCTGGCAAATGCCAAAGCCAATTACGTAGGAGGTTTTTTCAGAGAAGGCAACTTTGCCTTCCCAGAGGACAAATCCTCCACTTTGCTTTATGAGGCAGATAGCAACTCAGAACCACTAATGAGCTTGCGCAGGCCTCAATGGTTCCTTTCAATCAAGGGAAGCAGGACAGCTGGCTCACACCTGTAATCCTAGCTACTGAGGAGGCAGAGATCAGGAGGATTGAGATTGGAAGTCAGCCCAAGTAAATACTTCACAAAATCCTATCTTGAAAATACCGGACTCAAAAAAGGATTGGTAGAGTGCCTGAGCTTGAGGCCCTGGGTTCCTGCAGTACAGCAGGAAAATCAAACCTTCCCCTTACTGGCCTCTGGGCCACTCCTACCCTCACTGAAAAAAGCTTGACTCAACAAAGTATCAAATACTAAATTATGTTTCATACACATTTCTCCTTACCTGTTTTCTTTTTTTTTTTTTTCATTTTTCTTTTATTATTCATATGTGCATACAAGGCTTGGTTCCTTTCTCCCCCCTGCCCCCACCCCCTCCCTTACCACCCACTCCCCCCCTCCCTCTCCCCCCCTCAATACCCAGCAGAAACTATTTTGCCCTTATTTCTAATTTTGTTGTAGAGAGTCCTTACCTGTTTTCAAGAGGAAATAAACATCAATGTCAATCTCCAAAGTAAAATCAGATGACTTGAATAGGATGCCAGAGATCTAAATTTCAGCTCCCTCCAAAGCACATATTTTTCTTTCTTTGAAGTATTTACTTTTTTTTTTTTTTTTTTAATTCGTATGTACATTCAATGTTTGGGTCATTTCTCCCCCCTTCCCCCTGCCCCCTCCCTTATACTTTTTATTTTTTTGGCAGCACTGGGGTTTGAACTCAGGGCCTGGCACCTTGCTATGCATTCTACCACTTCAGCAATGCCTCTGGTTCTTTTTTGGTTTATTTTTCGGGTGTGTGGGGGGAAAGGGGGAGGAAGTTCAGACAGTGATCTTTCCACCTATGGCCTCCACTGTAGCCACAACCACCACACTTGGGTTATTGAGATGGGGGCCTTGATACTTGCTTCCAACCATGATTCTTGTGATCTCTGCTCCTGAGTAGCTAGGATTACAAACATAAGCCATTACACTACTAAGTATCTACTTTTCCTAATAACATCTAAAATTGCATATTAGAGTAAAAGTAAAATTCTAAATACCTTAAAAGGAACACAGACCCTTTCACACCAAGACATCCTGTTACCTGCTAGTCAAGAACTTTTAGGAATAAGCACATGTGCTTTAAGGGAAAAGTCTACTGCCTCCTTCAGAATTATTTTTTTTAATTTAAAATAAAGCCCTCCAGAGAAGAACACAAGATGCTGGTTTAAACCAACAAAGATGGTAACTTCTAGGTAATTTAAGAGCAAACTTGGCTCATTAGAACACGGTCCGCCATTTTTAAGCACTGAGAAGCAGGAGCCGGGACAAGGCTTCTGCAGGAAATGTGCCCGCCTATACTTGGCAGTCTCTCCAGTGTGGATACGCTTAAGTCTCCCCGATAAAAGTCCTTTGCGTTCTTTGTTGGGAGAGACACTGCTTTAAGAGTCATCCCTATGCTCTCCTTACCTGCGACGTGTAATAACCCATCTTGAGCCTCTAAGCTCCTACTTGTGCTTATTAGTTCCGCACTCACAAGGTGGCAGGCCCATTGTTCGGTTACAGTCCTTTCTGTTCGCCAGTAAAATCCTTAATACAAGCTTTGAAAAACGATAAAGAAACAATTTCGTGTAAGGATTTCCTATTGGACTCCCAGAATTTCGTCTTAATGAGGTTGGATACAGAATAGGAACTTAATAGCCTTTGAAATCATTTAGCCAGGCTGCTCATGATGATGGGAGGTAGGTTTTCCACTGTCACTTCTGAGTCAAAAGAAGGATTACTACAGAGCTGCCGCATTTCACATTGCTACAGGCCACCTGCCCACGTGGCTCTCAGAACCGGACCTCCAGGACCGCCTCGCAAGGCTGACATTCGAGGCAGCTCCAGGAAAATCGGGCTGGGAGGTCGAGGAAGAATCGGACTGAAGGCTCCTCCGAGTCTGCGAAAAGTTACCGCCCACCAGGGGCGTCTCCACAGCCCCCTACTCAGCTTGGGACACCCCCAGGGTCCTGTACTGGCCGCGCGGAGACCTTTCCTCCACCCGGGACTCTGATTAGAGAGGGCGACAGTCCCAGACCTTTTAGCACAACTAAACACCACTCAGGATTCTCACAGCACCTAGCCACGCCTCTCCGCCGGGCAGGGTGCGGGTGGCCCGAAATGGCGGCGGCGCGGGGGTCTGACGGTCACTTTCCGAGGCGCCCTTGACGGGTCCTCACCGTTGTGCTACCTACCTTGCTACCAGGCGCCCCGGCGAGTATAGGCGGGAGGGAGTGATGACGAACACTCGGTGCCTCCAATGAGCGCTCAGGTGCCCGGACTGCGCCCAATCAGAATCCGGGCAGCGAAGACTGGGGTAGGCTGCGTGCGGTCGGCGCGGAACGCTCCGGACCTTGCCTGCTGTGGGCCTGGGCCGCCTGCCTGCGTGCTTCCCGCGCGCTCGGCACCACGGCCCCCGGCGCCCGCCGGCCACTCAGAGGACCGAGGGGGCCGAGTCCAGGAGCATCTCGTGCAGCAGCGCTGTCCCCCAAGAGGACTTTTCATCAGCGGTTGCTGCAGAGAGATATGAGGGGCGGCTCCTAGCTTAAAGGAGCGTGAGACAGGCTCGGGGTTGGCCAGTTAGGGGAACTCCCCGGACGGCCGCCTGCGTCCTCCCGGGCCGGTTCCTTCCTCCCCGACGGAGACCCGCCGGGGGCGGGTGCGCGGCGACTGCATGTTCCCGCGGAGGCCTCCGGCCGCCTTGGCCGCCTGGCTGGCAGGGGCGCGGGGCGGAGGCCTGCTGTCCCTGCTGGCCAATCAGTGCCGCTTCGTGACGGGCCTGCGCGTGCGGCGTGCACACCAGATCGCGCAGCTCTACGGCCGTCTCTACTCGGAGAGCTCGCGCCGTGTCCTGCTTGGACGCTTCTGGCGCCGGCTGCGCGGCCGCCCTGGCCATGCCTCTGCCTTGATGGCGGCGCTCGCTGGTGTCTTCGTGTGGGATGAGGAGAGGATCCAGGAGGAGGAGTTGCAGAGGTAGGCCCTGTGGCGAGGTGAAGTCAGCCCTGTTGCGTGGGTTGGGGTTGACCAGGAAGGGGTCCTGTGGTCAGTGTCCCTGTTTGCTCGGTGGTCCTTTAAGTGGCGATGCCGCCGGTTGAAGCTGTTTTAGCAATCCGCGGTATCGCGCTTGCGTGTTGCTTGGATTTTTTTTCGTGTTAAAAATAGGAAGTGGAGGTGTGAGTTAGATTAGAGGAAGACTTTGAATAGGTAGCTTGATACTAAAAGAAACATTGTAAAAATAATAAATTAGATGTCAAAGGCATGGAGGTCATTGTTCTCGTAATTATTAACACATCCAGAAAAGTGCACATTCAAAATGGGCTTTAAATTCGTCCTAAGGCTGTAGTGCTTCCATCTACAAAATGACCGCAGTCCAGATGGGACTCAAGAGCTCTCTGTCATTGTGACTCGCGTCTTGGCAGAATTAAGAGGCTGGGAGGGATTTTGCCCTGCTCGCACGAACTAGTAACGCAGGCATTTTAACCTGTAACATTTATGTCAGAATTTTGTTACTCCATAACTTTGGGAATACTGTGTCATTAGGTTCTGAAGTCTCGCCGTTGTCATTAATACTTTAGTGTGAAAAACCTAGTACCACTGATTTTACTGAGTCACCTAGTAGTAGTTCTATATCTGAGACTTTATAGTTTTTAGGTAATCTTATAGGGTATCTTTGCTTTGGCACTCGCATTACAGTGTCTTTGTACTTTGTTTTGAACGCATATTGTCGAACTGTGCCTTCCCTCTACACAAGCACTCTGCTCCTAAACTCTAAATCTGTGATTTTAGGAACCAGGGGCAGTGCCCTCCTCCTGATAGATTCCACAGGTCTGTTTATTCTAGAAAGTTATTAAGCAGGAAATAGCCTGTTATTCTACATTTTTGGTTAGATTAAAAATGGAAATACAGCAATAAAGTTTACACCATGGCTTGTTTGGGAGGTGTAACACCCAGATACCAGGCAGCTATTATATTGGGTAAATGCAAGGCTGTCATAAGAACTAGAAATACCTTTCCTAGCAGGAAAGATGACCTTTTTTGTATTTTACAAGGACCTTGCACTTGCTAGATAGGAGCTCTGTACTTGAGCCACGCCCCCAGCCCTTTTTGTGTTGGTTATTTTTGAAATAACCAACTTTATGTCCTTGCCAGCCTGGATCACAATACTCCTCTATTTGTGCTTCTCCTTGTGGTTGGGGAATGACAGGTGCTTCTCACTGCACCCAGCCATTGGTTGAGAAAGGGCCTCAGTGAACTTTTTGCCCATGCTGGCCTGGAACTGCAATCCTTCCAACTTCTGCCTCCCAGGTAGCTAGGATTACAGATTTGAGCCACTGAACCTGGCCAAAAGATGGGTGACTTTTATAAAATGCAGTTTAAAATCATAACCACAACCAACTTTATTTACAAAAAAGTTGGAGAATAAATTACTTTTCCTAGTTCTTATTAGTATTTTTTTTTTTTTGCTGCTTAGTCACTTGTCCTCTTGTAAGAAATAAAAGATTGGGAAGAGAACTCTTAAATTGAGAAATTAACAATTAATTGAGTTTTCCTTCTATTTTTGGAGATGAAATACCTGTGTTCCACACTGGTGAAGTTTGAAAGGAAAATCCTCAGTTGGGTCTGTTCAGGGAGAGAAGAAAGACCATGAGGAGGTTACTAAGTGCAGAAGAAAAGGAAGGAGTTTGGGGAGGTGGGTTGAGTAGTGTGGGGGCTTAGGGGAGGGTGACACTGGCTTGTTTCATGGATTTTTATGGATGATACAACCTGAAGCCTCTGAATAGCAGTTCTCCCATTTTGCAGGAGTTGCAGGGGAAAACATTTGAGTTAGTACTCACTACCCACAGTGGCAGACATCAGACCAGCTGATGACCCAGCCAAGTATTCATTTTATTTCCCTCTATTTCATCATCTCTGGAACTTGGTGGGTAGTTGAAACAATCTTGGTTTTAATGCACTGCCTGAAGAAGGATTGTTCACAGGTCTTTGGAATTTCAGTTTAGATGAAGTCCATTCAGAACACTTTCAGGGTGGGAGAGCATGGGATCAAACCCAGTACCTCCATGCACCTTACCACTGATATGCACCTCCAGACCACAGAACACTTTTAAGCTGCCTTTTGACTCACAGAGTTCTTATAGGAAGGACCTTCATTTAACACTTCATTGTCCAATTTATACTTGAATTCAACTTTTCATATATTTAAGGTTTGATCAAGTTACCTCCTTAAGGAGGCAAATGATATGCTATTCAACAACTACATTTGGTTGTACAGTGGGTCCTTAGGTCTTTGTTGTGATGGCTTGTCATGTTTATATTTTATTGAATAAAATATTTTGGGTACAGCCTAACTTTTTTGCTTGATGTGCAGGTATTCTGTTTGCTTTAGAATGAGCACTGCTGAGATTGTTACAGCTAGCTCAGAACATCTTGGGTTTTGTTTGTTTTAGTGAAGTGATTTTGGGTAGTTTCCAGAATAAAGCACAGTTGTGTCTCAGGTCAAGTACATTTCTTTCATTGTTAATGGAAGAAGAGCATAGCTGTCACATGACCCCTCAGTCACAGTCTTTGGCCCATCTTTGTGTTTTCTGTTCCAACTTGTCTTGGCACAAACTGCTTCTGATAATGCCATCTTGGCTGAATAGGAACGAAGCAAGGTATCCTTTTGAAAGTGTACTTCAAGCAACATGTGTTGCCTGGTGCCAGTGGCTAGTGCTTGTAATTCTAGCTACTTGGGAGGCTGAGATTGGGAAGATTGCACTTTGAGGCCAGCCTAGGCAAATAGTTCACAAGATCCCATCAAAATGGATTGGAGGTGTTGTTTAAGTGTTAGAGTGCCTGCTTTGCAAGTGCAAAGCCCTGAGTTCAAACTCCAGTTCCACCAAAAGGAAGCCAGCATGTGTTTTTCATTTTCCTGCTTCCCTCCTTCCTTCCTTCCGTTTTTTTCGTCCTTCCCTCCCTCCCTTCCTTCCTTTATTTTCTCTCTTTTCTTTCTTTTATTTTTGAGACAGTTTCATTTTGTAGCCCAGACTGGCTGGTGACCCTCTGCCTCAGCCTTCTTAAGACTGGGATTACGGGCTTGGGCCAGCATGCCTGGCCCATGTGTTTTTGTTGTTTGAGTTTCTATTCAGAATGAAAAAGAACAATTTTACTTTCTATTCTTTTGCTACTTAGGAATGTATTACAAGGGCTGGGGGCATGGCTCAAGTGATAGACAACCTCCGTAGGAAGTGCAAGGGCCTGAGTTCAAACCCCCACAAAAATAGTAAGTTAGGAATAAGATCTTACTAATTTTATTTGGGCAGAGAAGTAACCTTACAAAATGATTTTGACTCATTGCTTGGACCAACTGTAGAAATCAGATCTTTTAAATACTTGTTCTAGTTTCTCATCCATTTGGCTTCAGTTAAACAATCAAACATAATAACTTTATTCTCTATTTTTAGTGCTAGCTGACATTCTATGAGCCTAAGGCTCATATCCTATGGAAAAATACAGAAGTAATTGTTTTATTGCTTTGGAAAGGTTAAAAAAAAATACAGGAACAAAAAGAGGAAGGATATTAAGAAATATGAAAATCTAGGGGGGAAATGATCCATTAACATCCTCATCTTTTTTTTTTTTTTTAAGTTAGGTTTATTGTTGTAGAAACTTGAGTTAATAAATGCCAGTAAAGCTTCATCAGGAAAATTGTCCATTTTCCCATTTCAGTATTTTAGGGCATTCAGAGTATATTAAAGGTTTCAGTATGGTATCAACTAGATGACTGATTGGTGGTAAAGCCTTTTGGCTTAAAGGATTTTTTTGTCTCTGTTCAATGTAGTTCACCGATAATCCTTTCTTAGAGCATTAGACAAACACAAAAGGGGACCTCAATTTTTTGAGATTGTCTTTATTGTTTTACCATTAACTAGTTGCCCTAAAGCTGCCATGAACTAGTTTTTGTCTTTTATTTCAAGATGTGCCCCAAATCTTGAAAGTCCTTAACTGTGACAGTGCTTTGGATTTGGAGGAGGGATTTTGTGAGGTGAAGCAGTTGTGGTGTTGAAATACCTAATTGTAGGGATGGCTTCACCAGGATCATTTGGGAGCCTTGTATTGTGCCCCATGCCAGGGAAGGAGCCCTGGCTGAGTCACTCCCTGTTATGCTTATTGTGTTCTTACTATAAGCCTTCAGTTTTCCTAGTTTTCAGTCTAGCTTTTCTCAAACATTAAAATGATTTTTGTTTTGAATAAAGGGAACCATAGACTCTGTTTTCCCTGATCCTTTTACTAATCTGCTGATGTTGTTACTATTTTGGGAATAATCTTTTTTGTCCTTCTTTTCTCTCTTCTTATTAGTTATTGAGTCTCTTAGATATGAAGGCTTAGACACTCATCCTGTCCAAACAAGATTTGGCATATCAGGCTAAAGCAATAGATTTAGTGAAAGTTTTTTTCCTTTCTCCATATACTATGTACTATATAGTATTTGTGCTCTTGTGTAAAGTCCCTTCAAGGACTTAAATCTTAGGACAAAATAGCTGTATTAATCATTTATATTTTCATGATCAAGTCTTACTCAAGCATTCATAGTGTACTATTCAAAGAATGAATGTTAGCTGGGTGTGGTAGTGCTGCCTGTTGTTGCCTGTAGTCCCAGTTTGGGGGTGGGGATTGTTGAAACTGGAGAATGGCTTGAGTTTAGGAGCTCAGGGCCTGCCTGGGCAACACAGTGAGACTTATCTCAAAAAAAAAAAAAAAAAAAAAGGGACTGGGGGCATGGTTCCAAATGGTAGCGCACCAGCAGCACAAGGTCCTGAGTACAAAAAAGGGAAAAAAAATGGTGATAGTTAATTTCTTAAAACCATTTTAAATATGTGATCCTTTTATGAGCCCCTGATGTTTTAATAAGACATTATACCTGGAGAAATGGATTCCTTGCTCCTCTTCATTATGTAATGAGAATGACATTTAGGAGTGGGTTATTATTGAAG